CACAACATCATCTCCATCTGATGGTGGTTCCCAACTCAACACAACGTGATCTTCATGGGTTGGTGGTCCTCTACACAACATCATCTCCATCTGATGGTGGTTCCCAACTCAACACAACGTGATCTTCATGGGTTGGTGGTCCTCTACACAACATCATCTCCATCTGATGGTGGTTCCCAACTCAACACAACGTCACCTTGACGGGTTGGTGGCCCTCAGCTCAACATCATTTCCACCTGACGGTGGTTCCCAACTCAACACAACGTCATCTCCATGGGTTGGTGGCCCTCAGCTCAACATCATTTCCATCTGACAGTGGTTCCCAACTCAACACAACGTCATCTCCATGGGTTGGTGGCCCTCAGCTCAACATCATCTCCATCTGACGGTGGTTCCCAACTCAACACATCACCTTCATGAGTTGGTGGCCCTCAGCTCAACATCATCTCCATCTGATGATGGTTCCCAACTCAACACAACGTCACCTTCATGGGTTGGTGATCCTCTACACAACGTCATCTCTATCTGACAGTGGTTCCCAACTCAACACAATGTTATCTCCATGGGTTGGTGGCCCTCAGCTCAACGCAACGTCACCTCTGTGGGTCGGTGGTCCTCCATACAACATCACCTCCATTTCTGTCACCACCAACCGGCCGTGTCGGCGTTCTGCTCTGATTTCTGAACACGAAATGAAGAAAGGATTCGGGGGGGATTCCGTTATCGGTGACGTTTGCGAAATGAGGCGCCGTTTCATATTTACACTCATTTTATTCCACTTTATTTCATTTCGTTTCGGTGATCTTTGCTCAGGTCCTTGGATCCGGAGCTGGAATTTCAACCCAACGTTTCCCAAGTAGAAAAATCGAATTTCAACCCATTTTTCCTACGTTTAAAAAAAAAAAAAATAATGGAATTTCTCATTTACAGAAATCATTTCTTTCTCTGACAGCAGCAGAAAAAAAAGATAAGTGAAATTTAGGTCTCTTTTAGGGACTATTTTGGGTCATTCTAGATCCCTTTTTTGGGTCAATTTTAGGTCAATTTGGGGTCAAATTTTGGTCTCTGATTGGTGTGTTTTGGGATCCCCTTTGCGAGGGGGGGGGGAGGGTGGTGACCCTTTGGGGTCATTTTAGGTCCATTTTAGGTCACTTTCATTTTGGGCCCACTTTTCATCTGTTTTGGGTTCGTTTCAGGTCCATTTTGAGTCCCTTGATCAAATTTGGGTCCCTTTAAGAGGATCCTTTTGGATCTACTTAAGCTCAACTTTTTTATGTCCAGTTTGGACCCTTTTGGTTCCCTTGTAGATTTTTTTAGGTCCCTTCTAAATTCATTTTCTGACCTTTTTAGGTTTCTTTTAGGTCCTTTTCACCATTTTTGGTCAAATTTTAGGCCCCTTGTGGGTCAGTTTTGGACTCCTTTTAGGTCCATCTTTGGTTCATTTTTGCTCTGTTTTGGGTCCCTTCAAGGTCCATCTTGGAGGACAATTTTCTCCCTAAGAAACCCAAAGTAATGAGATGCTCGTTAAGCCCCATGGACTTAATTGCCCGCAGCGCCCCATTCTTTGCATCCCTCCATTCCATTGGTGGTCCCCATCCATGTCCCCACCACTGTCCCCATGGTTGTCCCTATGGTTGGACCCCATAGGTGTCCCCATCAATGTCCCCATCCATTGGTGGGCCCCGTGGGCGTCCCCACGGGTGTCTCTGTCACTGGTCCCCATCAGCGCCCCCACGGTTGATCCCACAAACGTCCCCATCAATCCCAAACGGTGTCCCCACAGATGTCCCCACAATGGGTGACAGCACAGGACACAACGCCAGACCCCACAGACTTTATTGGTGGCTCCCAGCACAACCAGAGGTCGTCCCAGCACCCCGGCTGGCTCAGACCGGGGGTGACAAGGGGGGCAACGTGTGACACGGGGGGGCTCAGAGCTGCAGGAATTCAGCCACGAAGGCAGTGAGGATCTTGCAGAGGTCCTCCATGGTGGGTGGGTGCAGGTTGCCCTCGTTGTCCTCGGCCGTGTGCCAGACCCACGGGAAGGGCAGGGGGATGAGGTGCAGCACGGGGACACCTGTGGGGACACGGAGAGGTGGGGGGGGACATCGGAGAGCGGGGGTGAGCTCTGTGGAACGGGGGATGGTTTGGGGACATTGGGACGTGGGGTATGGGGAC